GAGAGAGACCAACAATATTATAAGTAAAATATCACATTTATTATACATTACATGTTACGATATAATATTAAATAAATATATATATATATTTAATAGATGATATCATACTTGATCATTATAAAATAAAAAGAATCACATAATAGCATGTTTTATAATACAATAAATATTATGCCTAAAACATTGTGCATCACCCTCTAAGAACGTTGCAATGATTAACAATTTAAATCTTTATATTAGAGTTCTTAATTTTAAATTTAGAGATAATAAAAAAATTGAAATTTAAAAAAAAAAATGTATATCAATTCTCACTCTTGAAATGGATTAAAATTTTAACATTAAATTATATTATTTTATTTAATTAAAATTTAATTTAAAATTTAAAAATACAATTTATTAAATATTAATATTTAGATTTAAAAATTCATTATATTAATATATAATTAATTTTAAATCTAAATATTAATATTTAATAAATTATATTTTTAAATTAATATTTTTATTTTTATTTTAAATTAAAACAAAGAGGAATACTAGGGGCACTCGCTTTCTGCACTTTCCGGCCAACACTTCCCCTTTCATTGGGCCACGTAGCTTCTTTAAAAAGCTTTCCGGCGCAACCTCTAAGCCAAAGTAACGTGGCCCAATCAAAGAGAAAGTGTTCGCCGGAGAGTGCAGAAAGCGAGTGCCCTTAGCATTGCTCTTAAAACAAATCCACACTAGTTTCTATTTCTTATTAGATAATTACGAAAATAGTGCTTATCATTTTTATTTTTAAAAAATTAAGAGAAAAATCATTTCAAAATTATATCATTTTAATAAATTTTTATTAAAAAAATTAAAATATTTTATTTTTAAAACATGATTAAAGTAATTTTTATCTTTTTTTTTTTAATTTAAAAAAAATAAATAAACACTAACTTTATTAATTATTATCCCAACATATGAAAAAAAAAAAAAATTGTACACCTAACATTTTCGGAGAGCGAACTTGTGTCTGTACCCTGTCCGTAGGGCTATTGAACGGACATCTCGTATTGCATTGACCAAGGAGAAAGGGGCACCAAGGTAAAATGAAAGAAAGAGATAATATATGCGTATAATTAATGGTATTAAAGAGTGATGACAGACTCTGCTACCTACTCCTCCAGATGACAGCTATTTATTAATGGCCTTCTTTCCCTTGTCCTTTTACCACGTAATCTGTTCTAATTTATTCACATTATTCTCTCTACTGAGATTTCATTTTGGATCCACCTCTAACAAGGAGATGAGATATTCTGCTGCTGTGTAATAAAATCTCAAATTACTAATGGCTTGTTGTTCTTCCGAAGGTAAGAAATTTAATTTTTTTAAAATAAAATTTTAAAATAAAAAAATAAGCGTTAAAAGAGTTTTTTTAAAATGAAATTCAATACGTTCTAAATTTAAATTGATCGAGATTCAATGTAATTATTGAATATCGAAAAATTAGTAAAAAAAGAAATTTTCAAATTAGTTGAGAAATGAAACACTTAACATTTTCATGTTGAGTTGTTGTATTATATTGAGGTGTTATTTAAGCTGTGATAATACATTAACATTGTTAAAAGTGAGAATTTTCACGTTGATTAGTTAGAAGAAAATTTATGAGCTCTTAAATACTATATGAATTTATCAATTTTTTCAATAGGTAAAGTTGATTGGTAATGAGTTTTCTATTTTATTGTATGAATTGTAAAGTATAAATTATTAAAAAAATAACTCTTAATATTAAAAAATTAAATTACACGTCTGAATGTATACCAACAGTTTAATTTTTTTTTACTGCTAATGCAATACTAAAGCTCTTTTTACTTTTCTAAAATCATGAAATGTAGAGTATATTTTCTTCTCAAAAGAATCTTAATAAAAGAATTTCACTTTATGAAATAATTATCATTTACATGTTAAATAAAATATACTAATATTAATTACGAGCAAAACGGAAAAAGTAATAGACAAAAGTTACAATACATTGCTTGTACGGTGGCCCATGACATTGTTTGATGGGCTACACTCTATGAGGAATGGGGCCGAAGAACATTTTGTTAAAAAAGTTGTGGCCCACATCCTGGTGGATTGGGCCAGATAAATAAAAACCTTGATTGCCCATTAACAATAGCTTTTTATCAGTCTTTTTCACCCCCAACTTTTTGTTAATTTAAAATATATATATATTTAATAGATGATATCATACTTGACCATTATAAAATAAAAAGAATCACATAATAGCATGTTTTATAATACAATAAATATTATGCCTAAAACATTCTACATCACCCTCTAAGAACGTTGCAGTGATTAACAATTTAAATCTTTATATTAGAATTCTTTAATTTTAAATTTTGAGATAGTAAAAAAAATTAAAAATTTTTTTTAAAAAAAAAGTGTATATCAATT